TGCAAATGGTAAGAATTCCTTCTTTTTTACAGCAGCATAGTATTCCATTGTGTAGATATACCACAGTTTTCTAATCCATTCATCTGCTGATGGGCACTTAGGCTGTTTCCAGATCTTCGCTATGGTAAATTGTGCTGCTATGAACATAGGGGTGCATATATCCTTTCTGATTGGTGTTTCTGTTTTCTTGGGGTATATTCCTAGAAGTGGGATCACTGGGTCAAATGGGAGTTCCATTTTTAACTTTTTGAGGAAACTCCATACTGTCTTCCATAGTGGCTGCACCAGTCTGCATTCCCACCAGCAGTGAAGGAGGGTTCCTTTTTCTCCGCATCTTCTCCAGCACTTGTCATTTGTTGATTTGTTGATGGTAGCCATTCTGACAGGTGTGAGATGGTACCTCATTGTCGTTTTGATTTGTATCACTCGGATGATTAGTGACTTTGAGCATGTTTTCATATGTCTCTTGGCTTTCTGAATGTCCTCTTTTGAAAAGTGTCTATTTAGGTCCTTTGCCCATTTTTGATTGGATTGTTTATCTTCCTTTTGTTAAGTTGAATGAGTTCCCTATAAATGTTGGAGATTAAACCCGTATCGGTGATAACATTGGCAAATATGTTCTCCCATGCAGTGGGCTTTCTTGTTGTTTTGTTGATGGTTTCTTTTGCTGTGCAGAAGCTTTTTATTTTGATGTAGTCCCATTTGTTTATTTTCTCTTTAGTTTCCAATGCCCTAGGAGCTGTATCAGTGAAGAAATTGCTTCGGCATATGTCTGAGATTTTGTTGCCTTTGGATTCTTTTAGAATTTTTATGGTTTCCCATCGTACATTTAAGTCCTTTATCCATTTTGAGTTTATTTTTGTGTATGGTGTAAGTTGGTGGTCTAATTTCATTTTCTTGGATGTATCTGTCCAATTTTCCCAACACCATTTATTAAAGAGTCTATCTTAGCTCCATTGTATGTTCTTGCCTCCTTTGTCAAATGTTAATTGAGCATATCGGTTCGGGCCGATTTCTGGGCTCTCTATTCTATTCCATTGATCTATATGTCTGTTCTTGTGCCAGTACCAGGCAGTTTTGAGAACAGTGGCTTTGTAATACAGCTTGATATCTGGTATTGAGATCCCACCTACTTTGTTCTTTCTCAGGATCGCTGCAGCTATTCGGGGTTTTTTTTTTTTTATTCCTGATGAATTTTTGGAGAGTTCGTTCTAGATCTGTAAAGTATATGCCATTGGTATTTTAATGGGAAGTGTGTTGAATTTATAGATTGCTTTGGGTAGTATGGACATTTTAATGATGTTGATTCTACCAATCCATGAACACGGTATGTTCTTCCATCTGTTTATGTCTTCCTCTATCTCTTTTTTCAACGTCCTGTAGTTTTCTGAGTAGGGGTCTTTTACCTCTTTAGTTAAGTTTATTCCTAGGTATCTTAATTTTTTTGGTGTGATGGTAAGTGCGATTGCTTTTTTAGTCTCTCTTTCTGTAAGTTCACTATTGTTGTATAGAAATGCCATAGATTTCTTGGCATTAATTTTTTATCCTGCTACATTGCCGAATTCATTTATTAAGTCTAATAGTTTTTTTATGGAGTCTTTAGGGTTTTTTATGTACAATATCATGTCATCTGCGAATAAGGACAGTTTTACTTCTTCTTTTCCAATTTGGATGCCTTTTTTAAAAAAATATATATTTTATTGATTTTTTACAGAGGGGAAGGGAGAGGGATAGAGAGTTAGAAACATCGATGAGAGAGAAACATCGATCAGCTGCCTCCTGCACACCCCTGACTGGGGATATGTCCGCAACCAAGGTACATGCCCTTGACCGGAATTGAACCTGGGACACTTCAGTCCGCAGGCCGACGTTCTATCCACTGAGCCAAACCGGTCAGGGCAAGGATGCCTTTTATTTCTTCTTCTTGTCTAATCGCAATGGCTAATACTTCCAGTACTGTGTCTGGACAACCATTTTAAAATGAGGGCATTCTATTATAGAAGAGGGCACATGGATATTGGTGGGTAACTAGTAGTTTCTGGTACAAACATATACATTGTTTTTGTAGAACATAATTTTTTATAATTACCACTTACAAACCATAAAATTGGTAACAGCAGCTTTTCAAGTTTAATATGGCACAAAGTTCTATTGGGAATATCTTCTAAAATTGGATTAAAACCAGTTAGCTGGAATCGATCTGCTACTTGGAGCCTTCTCTTAAGTGTATTCCCTCTACATGTACACACTTCTCTCTTACTCATACTGTACACACAAACACACAGTTTGTGCATCATTTGTTTGTTAATGTATATAACAAATACTGATTAAAAGCTAACTATGTGAGACCTATGTCTATGCTAGTGACAAAGATGCATTGGTAGTATTGTTTAATTATTGTTGATGTTTATAAATATAACCCTCAAAATTCAGCAAAATCTCTAATGTTCTAGAAAAGACGGTGTTTTTAGGATTTAGTGCTTTTTGCTGTGATATAAAAGACAGTTGTCTATGTAAATGCAACAAAAACTACTTCTAGAAGTATTTGGTAAAGTTAAGTTCTATGGAATCTGTATTTAATCTAATTTCCTATGAATATTTACCTTTCATGTATATGTGAATAAATATTTTATATAAAATAGTTATGAAAAGATTATAATGTTCTGAGAAAATACAAATTCCATCTTTGAACTTAAAATAGAATTGTTCCTTTAATAGACATCAGTTCCTCAAGATTAAGTTAGTGTACCATTAAATTATTCACTGGACACTTACTAGGGGAAGCCTACAATTGTATGCATAATATATTCTTGAAAATGTATATGAAGTCACAGCTTATAAATGCTAAACAAATTGACTAAAAACATGTTTTCTAGTATATGTTTTAAATACTTATGGGCTCAATAAGTATCTGAATACAGGTTAATGTTCCCACTTTTGGTATTCTTATTAAGTTCCATCTTTGCAAACTGTAATGGGTTTATGAGGCATATTACTTAGTATTAGTATGAATGCTTTTTATGATTTATTTTTATAAAATAGGTATAAAAACTCAGAAAAGTATTATACTATTTGTATGAACAAACACCACTGTACAATAGCAGCAATATATCTGAGACTGAAATTTTGCTTAGAAGTTTACTGCCATTTGTCAGCTGCTTTATAAAAAGAAGTTAGGTGTGTTAATGCTGGAAAATCACGTGTGAAAGTTGATGCTTGCTTGTTCTGTGTTCTGTAGCCAATGTGACCAGGGCTATTTACTGTAACAGTTGTAAAAAAAACCAGCACTGTCCTTTAAAAATAATATAAGAAAAATAACATTTTTCTTGCCATAAATTTAATACTACATGCTTATTGAAAAAAAAATACTAGAAATCCAGAAATCACATATTCTTTTTCTTATTTTTACTGTACTTGCAAAGAAACATTAATTTATATATCAAATTGTCTTCATGTACTTATTGTTTTTAAAATTCTCCGTAGTATTTTACTTGGGCTACGGATGCTTACCCATTGGGCCTTTTTAGATTATTTTCAGTACACCATTGCAAAGATTACTATAATTTATTTGAATTCTTTACATAATAATAATATTAAATCTTTATTGTGGCTTGTTACTTATCTGTTCTTTGTATATGGTAGATTTTTTTTTAACATTCAGAAATGTAAAATATTTTATGTAATCAAATCTGTATAAAAATCTTCTGACCTTTTACTTTTTTCCATTTTTTAGTACTTTGGAAACTTCCATATATTGGGCTAATAAACATTATTTTAGATATATGCACCCCTGTGTTCATTGCAGCATTATTTACAATAGCCAAGATATGGAAACAACCTCAGTGTCCATTGATAGAAGAATGGATAAAGAAGATATGGAACATATATATACTATGAATTATTACTCAGCCATAAAAAAAATGAAATTTTGCCATTTGCAACAACATGGATGGACCAAGCATTATGCTAAGTGAAAGAAGTCAAATTAAGACAAATACCATACGATTTCAGTTACATGTGGGAAAAAACAAAATAAACAAACAAAACAGAAACAAACTCATAGATACAGAGAACAAATTGATGGTTGCCAGATTAGGGAGTTGGGTGATGGGTGAAAAAAGGTGAAGGGATTAGGAAGTATTAATTGACAGTTATAAAAATAGTAACTGCCAATTAATGGGGATAAAAGTACAGCATAGGGAATATAGTTAATAATATAATACCTATGAATGGTCTCAGATGGGTACTAGACTTAGGGAGGGATCACTTCCTAAGGTATGTAAGTGTATAATCACTATGTTGTACAATTTAAACAAATACAATATTGTATGTCAACTGTAATTGAAAAATAAATTTAAAAATAAAAAATATTTTTTCTTGTTTTGTGCCTTATATCTAACTCTTAAAATATTGGAATTTAATTTGGTTGTACAGTAAGGTGCTAATAACTTTTTTCACTCAAAGTAGTTAGCTAATTTATTAGAGCTAATTATTGGATAATACTTTTTTATTTTATTTTTAATATATTACAGATTTTTCTCCAGGTATTCTATTTACTTGTATTACATATGAACCCTAATAAGATTGCATTAGATAATAATGAATTTAAAATGAGGTGATGATTAGGAGAGGGATTTTGTATTCCTGTTTTTATATAGGAGTTCTGGTTTTGAAAATTAGTTTAGCATGTGTTTAACTATTGATTACCTTTTGAGTTGTGTACAATATTACAACAAAATAAGATTCTCTTCATTTTTGTAAGTGGGCTGAAGTATTTATTAGTATCACTTTCTACTCTGAATTCAGATGAAATAGTAAATGTGTCATTGAGTTGTAGTATTTCCTCATCATTGAGGTTTTTCTTAAGTAGTTGGAAGAAACCTGTGCTTCCTCTAAATATATTTGTGCTTTTTCCCCCCACCCAGAATGCAGGTTTATATAATATAGCTTTAAGAATTCATTACTGGTAGAATTTGACATTTTTTTCCTTCTTTTTTAAGGGAAAAATTTATATACAAATGAATATGTGGCAATTAAACTGGTAAGTTCATGTGTCTTATTTTTCCTTAATTCCTATTTCTTTAATGATTAACATATTTTAGTTACTTTTTTATTTTCATATTTATAACTTGAGTGTTTAAGTATATGGCAATGTATAGGATGTCTCTATCTTTCTGTGCCATGGAAACTCAATCCCTCTACTTTGGTAACATCACAGAATTGAATTTTTGAATTTCGGCACTATTTTTCACTTAAGGAAGCTGGCATATTGACATTTTATTTAGATCAAAATTAGAAAGCAAGATTTCTCTTTCTGATTCAAGTATTTGAACAAAAGTTTTCTTAATATTTAGGATTATAATCTATGAAAGTATTTCCAGGTAGTTTTAAAATCTCTTCTTCCATTGATATTTTATGTATGGTAAAGCTGGCTATTGCTTGACTTTTGGGGATTCAGAAATTCTTGATGTGGGTGGAGAACAGCAAGGAAAGCAAACTCCCATGGAACTGTTCTGAATTCCTAAATGTGCCCAGTTTGACAGCTGTAAGGCATCTCTTTTTTTTTTGGAAGAGTTGGGATCTGGGAGTTTTTATAAGACATAACTTTTCTTTGGCACAGCTTTTCTATCTGGTTTGCCAGCCATGTTTCCATGCCTGGGTTTTTCCAGTCTGCCTGCCATTCTCAATCTTGTGCTTGCCAATATAACCACTGTATTAAGGTAATGTAAGATGATGATTAGAGAAGAGGTAAGTGGGGGGAAATAGAAAATCTTTTGGGATGAGCTAGAAAACTGTACTTAAAGTATGTTTGTGAGTATAGGCCAAGTTTCATTGCAACAAATGTTTATTTTCACTGGGAAATAAGATGTATGGTAGGGTGTGGTGCTTCTAAGACTGGCTGGCTGACTTGTGAGTTTGGACTGGCATTTACCTGGAAGGGTTCACCTTGGTTTTAAGGTCTGGTCCTTGGCTTTATGTCGGAAAATCTGGTTAGGTCATCTCTTTACCATCGTCACTGTTAATCAGAGGTAGATTTAATAAATTCATGCAATCAATCAAGCTCTCAATATTTAAGAAGAGTTAATTTCTAATTTTATAATGAAGTATTTTACTATTACAGGTTCAGAATGCTCAAATCAGTATAAATAATGTTTACTTTCTATAGGCCGATCTGCATAGAAAGCCATAAATACGGGACCCGTTATGGCGCCTCCCTCAGAAAAATGCCAAGTTAAAATGACAAGCTTCCCTCCTGATCATGAAATCTGTACAGGAGTTAGTGTGTATGAATCACAATGGGGAGATACAGGATGCAGGGACTGGACAGTGTTTGAATGGGCATTGCCGACTTTTGTTTCTTTGGGATTCTTTTTCCATGTTCTATTCCAGTGGTCTAGGGTGTAGACATTGTATGGTGTTGGGAGTGGGGGTGGTGCACAAGAATAGAAGTGTAGTAACACCCATATGCTGTGTTACTGATGCAGCAGCCTGTAGTGAGCAGGTCCACTTAAGGAAGCTTGTGAATGATATTTAACTGATATGCTAAGGGAAATAAACCATTGTGTCAAAACAGGAGCCACTGTACTAGGCTGACGTTTTAGTCATAAAGTGGTATCCGTTAGGTCCTGTTATATCAGATTTGGGACCTTTTTACCCTCTTGACACCATTGATTCATTAGTAAACATTTATTATGTCATCTTTTGTCCTTCTTTACATATACACACATATGTCATTTTTTGGTGCATCTTCCTGCTATGTTACTATCCCCTTAATTATTTTTCTTACTTTTTTCTTTTACATTCTTTCTCTGTTTACCTTTTTAAGCATAGTGATCAGAGTATGACATATAATAATTTTGGTTATGCAGTGTTCTTTAGAGGAACTGGGAATATTTTTGTAGCTATGTTTGGTATTCTGAGGTTGAAGTATAGTATGGAGACATGTTCACTTCAAATTCAAAAATGTATTGACAGGACAGAAATTTTTTTTAAATCTCTTTAAAAAAATATTTCAAGAAAAACAATTTTAATGTTACATGCAATAAACATTAATATTTCAAGAAAAAAAGATTTTAAATATAATAATATTACCCAAACTGTATTAACATAGTATAATATCACAAAAGTTGTAGGAAATATTAAAAATCTGCAAATACCACATCATAGTTTGGTATTTAGTTTACTAAACACATGTAAAACATATACTGTGTAATATCTTTAATATTAATACAATAACAGACAAAACCAACCCAAAGGTGATAGAAGTCAGAAAGTGATTACTTGGAGGGAAGGATGATAAAATGTTCTAAAGATTTTTTGAGGTGCTAGTTGCTGGGGTATATGAAGTTAATAAAGCTCATGGACCTAATGCTTATGAACTGTGTGTTTTATTTAAGCTTTATCCCAAGTAAAAAATTTAAAAAATACATTGTTGTTATTGTCAAAAATTTATCTTCATATTTGTTCTTTCCTATTTCCTGTGATTTCACTTTAACCTAGAACTTTTACATAAGAAATACACAGTTCAAGATGGATTCCTAGAAACAAAAGAAATAGAGCAGTGGTTCTCTACCTTCCTAATGCCGTGACCCTTTAATACAGTTCCTCATGTTGTGGTGACCCCCAATTTCATTGTTACAAATTGAACATAATTAAAGCATAGTGATTAATCACAAAAACAATATGTAATTATATATGTGTTTTCTGATGGTCTTAGGCAACCCCTGTGAAAGGGTCGTTTGACCCCCAAAGGGGTCGTGACCCACAGGTTGAGAACCGCTGAAATAGAGTAAGGGTCACCATTCCCCTAGTCATGAATGTTTGGTGTATATACTTTTCTTCAGGGTTAAAGAGTCAAACATAAATTTCCCTAGTGATTGATCTAATAGCCACGTAATCTTATGTACGTTTTGACATTAATTTATTTTACATTGAAATACATCTACAGTTGATCTAACCTTAGAGAGACAAAGATGCCTACTAAAATATTAATTATCTAAGAGTTGCCACCAAGATTAATAACATTTGGAATTGGGGCCTAATGATCTTTTAATAACTTGTTGTTTGTTTTTTAATTAGGAACCCATGAAATCCAGAGCACCACAGCTACATTTGGAATATAGATTCTACAAGCAGTTAGGATCTGGAGGTAAAATTTTATATTTTAACATTTGTAGTGAAATGGATTGTCATGATAACTCTTTGGTTTCAAAGAATACTACTTAAATTGAGTTAAAGTGAATCACTTCTTAAGAAGTTACTTACCAGACATTTTCTTGCTGTAGTCTTAACGTTCCCTTCTTTATTTTAAACTAAAGGCCCCAGACATGAAATTCATGCATGGGTAGGGTCCCTAGGCCTGGCAGGGGATCAGGACCAATCTGTGGGGCGACCAGCGGGGTGATGGGGGGGGGGGCGCGGACTGGCACCTGACTTGGCTGGCCTGGGGCCTGTGGGTTGGGGGCAGCTCCTGTGTCGAGTGTCTGCCCCCTGGTGGTCAGTATGTGTCATAGCAACCTATTGTTCTGCCATTTGGTTGATTTGCATATTAGGCTTTTATTATATACTAGAGGCCCAGTGCATAAAAATTTGTGCACTCGGGGGAGTGCCTCAGCCCGGCCTATGCCCTCTTGCAGTCTGGGACACCTCGGAGGATGTCCACCTGCTGGCTTAGGCCTGCTCCCTGGGGGATCGGGCCCAAGCTGGCAGTCAGACATCCCTCTGGCAGCCCAGCAGCCCTTGGGGGATGTCCACTTGCCAGCGGGGAGCAGGCCTAAGCTGCAGTCGGACATCCTTAGCGCTGCTGAGGAAGCGGGAGA